TTGGTTGCAGGCATTCGCACCTCTTTGGTAAAGGTGCAGATAAGCTTTGGTTTTCGGCCAGTCCTTCCTTAGAGAAAGCCAGCCTCTGGGAGAGCTTCTGTGCTCAGCTTAGATGGGGCGGAGTCTCGGGTTGGTGCACACAAGCTTTGTTTTCCCTTCGGCCTCTCCCCAAGTCCCGCAGTAATGGCCTCTGGCTTCACACACCTCTGAGAGATCTCTGCCCACTGCCTGACAGTCTGGCCTCTCCCTGACTGGGGCTGTCTATTAGAGCAATAAGGTGATTCTGTTTTCCTCTCTAACAAGAAAGCCAGCCTTGCGTTAGCTGTCCGCCCTCTTCACGCCCAGTGTAAGCCAGTAGCGAACTCAGCCGGGCCCGCCCTCTCCGTGCATCATGAGTAAGCCAGCAGCAATCTCTGTCCGGCCCTCCCTCTCTGCAGGCCAGGAGTAAGCCAGCACCTTTTTGCGCGCACAGTTCTCAGTACCTTCACAATTCCTGAGGTTCAGTGTGCCTTCTCTCTCCTTCCCAGGTGGCAGAGCCTCCTCTCAGCTAGCCATCCGGTGCTTCAGGGCAATGCCTCCCCTGTTTTCCAGTTCTAAATTCGAATTTGTTGTGATAGGCTGCTTTCGGGTGTCTACCCTATGCCGCCATCTTGGTTGCTCCCATGATGAACTTTGAAAACAAATGCTAAGTCATAAGAGACCATATATTGTGCAGTTTCATTTGTCTAAAATGTCCAGAATCAAGTCTATAGAGAGAGAAAGTAGATTACCTTTGTGTGGGGCTGGGGTTGGAAGGAGGTGGAGAGTGACTGCCAATGGATACTATTTCTTTTAGGGAAGCCAGAATTTCCTAAAATTAGATAGTTGTATAACTCTATAAGAATATTAAAAAACATTGAATTGTATACTTTGTATGGGTGAATTATGTAGTGTAAAAGTTATATCTCAAAAAAAGCTATTAAAAATGAATCATATTTTGCCATATCAACCTACAGTTTGAGCTGCTATCCTTAAACACTACACCAAAGAAATACCCACTTCTGTAACCTGCACTGAAGATGTGTTTTCATGTCATTTGCTGCCTTAGGTAGGGCATATACTTTACATTTCTAAATGTATGCGCAGCTCCTCATGCGTAGTAGCCACCAAATATTTATTGAACTGAAATGACAGCAGTATAGCAGTTAAAGAGGGGGAAAAGCCAGTCATTATCTTCAAAGATTAAGCCTCATCTATCCCCTATTCTTTTCCCATTATATACTGTATATACATATATGAACTAGTATGTGTATATGTGTGTGTGTATATATAATATCTGCTTTACTATTTATAAAGCATTCTCAAATGCATGAACTTATTTAAATCTAAAAAAACATTGTGAGGTCAGTATGATTGTTACAGCAGTTTCACACAGAAGGAAACTCACTCAGAGAAGTTAATCTCCAGTCACCATGGGACATTGCCAGGCATGAAAGCCAGGGCCTTTCCACTATATTTCACAGCCTTTCACATCCCTACATTCATAATAAGGACCCTGACCATTGCTGGCAGGCCAGTTACAGATGGTTTGCAAGCCTCATTTTAGATTCAAAGAGAAATTATCTTTTTGGTTACCATTTTATTAGATTGGCTTGACCAGTCAAGAGTTAAGCCCATCAACAGAGGCATAAAATGAAAGTCAGCAGTTTTTCTCCATTTCTCTGTTTTGTTGCAAACATTTCTGGCGGTTAGAAAAATTGATTCTTATGATCATATGTGGGTTCACGCTGTGCCCGTGGTTTTATTTACTTTGTTCTGAAGCAATGAGTAATAAGCCCATTTGCTTGCTGTTCCCTGTGGCTGAGCTAGTTCTGCTGCACAGCAGTAGAAGTTCTGTTCCGTAGATATTGATGTGCCGTTAATGTGCCAGGCAGTACACAAGGAGCTGTGGAGACAGAGATGAGTAAGCTGCAGTCCTTATTCTCAGAGAGTCCATAGTATCTTCCAGGTCCTTTCATCATGGCATGCAATTATTCTTTTGGGAGGATTTGGATTAGTTTGCTTTTACATTTTGGTAAAATGCAGTCCCTCTCTCAGAAAGTTGCTATCTAGAGTATAAGAATTTTTTGTTGGTTGAGGGTACAGAAAGAAAAATGACCCAAATGTTTAGAACTCAACAATGATAGTCATGTTAGATTCAGAGTTTGATGACATTTTATTCCCTTGCAGATCAATAGAATCTATTTATAGACTCTAAAAAAAAAAGCATGAAGTTTACACAATTGAAATCCAGCTTCCTCTCACTTACATTTGCCAGGTCATCACCTCTATACATCCTGTGAATTTATTTTAAAATGCTAGAAGTATATGCCAACATTACAGAAGTTAGAGCAGTGGAGGGAAATTACAAAGTAGAGTAAAACCAGTCATCTCAAATGTCACTATCCTGAAACTCAAAGGTGGCTGGATCTTGCACCTCAGTTTCCTCATCTGTAAAATTGGGGATAATTAAACTAAATAGGAAATGTAAAGCACACACATTCACAAAAGCCCACAATAAATGTGTATCTCATTTGAGCAGAAATAACCATTTTTATATAGTCCTTTTGTCTTATTTTTTTACAGTTGTTTCCTTGTACTTTTGTATCATATATATATATATATATATATATATATATATATATATATATATGATCATTTTCCGTCTTGTTCCGTGTGATATGTTTTCCATTGATTTTTTAGAGAGAGTGGAAGGGAGGAAAGGAAGGGGGCAGAGAAAGAGAAACATCAATGTGAAATAGTCACACTGATTTATTGCCTATTGCATCCACGCCAACAGCCCACTCCCAGGCCCGGCGAACAAACCTGCACGCAACCCAGGTATATATATGCCCTTTACTGGGAATCAAACCCACAACCATTCAGTCTGCAGGCTTGTGCTCTAACCATTGAGAAACACCAGCCAGGACTAATTACTGTGATTTTTAATAGTTGTAGACTCTTCTGTGGTAGGGTATGAGTGTATTATCATAGCTTATCCACTCCCCTGTTGTTGGACATTCCGGTTGCTTTCAGTACTTCATTATTATAAATAGTGCTTACGGTTGTATGTATGTTATTCACTTAGCTCCTGGGAAATCTTAGGCAGTTTATTTCATCTCTGTGTCTTTGTTGCCTTGATGCTAAATGGGGTTAGACTAGTATCTACCTGAGGGGATAGCTGTGTGGGTTGAGTGAGGAGATACAGCAAAGCACTTGGGACAGTGCCTGGCACTCACCAGATGCTCGGTAAACTTTGCCTCTTAACCTCTGTTTGGGTTCATTTCTTTAGGCTCACTCTCCAGAGATGGGTTTTAACAATTTATGATGCCAGCAGCAGTCATCCCAGGCTTGACTACTTACCTCTCTTTCCCTTTAAAATAATAGTGAAAAACAAGTTTCTCTAGTTATTACCAGAACTCACTTCTGCTCATTGCCCCGAAGAGTCAGACCCCATGTCACAGAGGTGGGGTCCCAGAGGCTATTTGTATGTTTTCCTGAGCAATCAGTCCCCAGCTGCTTTCCACCAAATTGTAGCATAAGTTGATCTTAAAAACCAGGCATGTGTTGTTATTCCTGACTGAAGTATTTACTGTTATATACTGAAGAATAAGACAAAAGTGTTGTGGCATATAATGATTTTGATGACCCCTCCCTGCTCCCCACTCCCAAAAAGCAATCGACAAGAGTTGTTTTTCCTGGTTTGGCCAGCTTGTACTTGTCCCAGTGGAATTATTCATAATGACCCCCTCACCCTCAAAAGTGACCTAGTTTGGATGATAAATTGTCACCTCTTCCCCGGGGATTCTTCAGCAGCTGGAGGATCTGCCTGTACTTGCTACCTCGTTACTCCCCTTGACAACTTTCTGTCTACCCAACATAGGCTTCAGCCTCATCGCTTTCACCAAGCTTCATCTGGGAGGTCCTCACACGTGCCCAGCCTTCAATTAACATTAGTCCAATAGGCATTCACTCAAATTTTCCCATTTTATCACTTTCCCCCTTCCCTCATATCTTGCTGATAGTAATTGTCAATGGCATAGACAGGACAGGGCACTTTAAATTTGTTTAAAATTTTTCTCTTTGTCCTTCAGAATTATTTATTTTGCAGCTTAATTCATTCCACTGGCAACTGTATCTTTTCCCATTTTTCTCTACTTAAAATTTTAAAATTTGCCTTGGTCAGATGGCTTAGTTGGTTGGAGTGACGTCTGTACACCAAAAGGTTACAGGTTCGATCCCTGGTCAGGTCACATACGTAGGTTGCAGGTTCATTCCACTGTCAGGTCACATAGGGGAGGCAACCGATTGATGTTTTTTTCTCTCTCTGTCTCTCTCTGTTCCTCTCCCTTTCACTCTTTCTATTGTAAAATAAATGGAAAAAAATATCCTCAGGTGAGGTGAGAATTAACAAAATAATAATTTTAAAAATAAATTTTTAAAAATTATATTTGCTTTCAGGTTCATCTGTAAACAAAATAGTAGGACTTTTAACACTCGCTGCTCTTGGCTTTATCAAATATAATAAGGTGTGTATAGTCATAAAGCACCTTTAAAGCCCACAAGGATCAGGTCCAAACTGAGTGGGCAGTATCAAAGACATATCTGAGGCGAGACACACAACCTCATCTCGAAGCGTAGTCACAGGCGAAGTTTTGTTCACAAGATGGAAGTTTGTAAGTGCAGAAGCTTCTGCATTGGGAAAACAAAATTAGCTTCTCCATGATGATTACCTTTTGTACTTAGGTAACTATACTTTAACTATCATAAAGGACTTTATGATTTGAAAGGCTTTCTTTTTTCCCAAACAAGTGCCTGCATTCCTCGGGCAATGTGTTCATGGTTTTAAGGAGGAAAAGGAAATGTTGTGAATGAGGGATGCTGCCAACTTGAACTAGTGCAAGGTCACAGTGGGGCTGTAACTCATAGGTCAGGGTGTGGATCATCAGTGGGAAATCTGTTTTTCCGTTTGTTTTAACCAGGCGACCTTCGGATGGTGGTTGGAGAGAATAAGACAAAAGTGATGGATATTGTAAAGCCCAACATAGCCTACTTTCGTGAGCTGTATGGCCACATACTACAGGATAATCCCCAAGTGGTGTATAAAACCCAGCAAAGCAGACTGGAGGTAACTGGAAAATAACTCCTACTGTTTCTAAGGCAAAGATCTGCTTAAGGGAGAAAGTAAGGGTTAGAACAGTATAACTGGTGTAAAATCATATTTTTAAAAGTAAGTTTTATATATAAACATGTTCTGTATATTTGGAATAATGCTGAAAAAGGTAACAAAAGAGACATAATAAGAAGGGAACTAGGGCTAACGTGGGGGAAGAGTGGCTTTTCTTCACCATATATCTCTCTCTTGCCATTTGAAATTCTTACTGTGCATATTAATTATCAGTAAAAAACAAGTAAGAATAAACTCAGATTACCTTTTTTCTGTCCCCAATCTTATTTACCTCCATGAGGTAACCTTCCTGACAGTTTGGTATTTATTCTTCCAGATTCTTTTTGCATTCATTTTTATACCTGTTTGTACCCATACACATACATGATGGGATTTGGTCTTTTTTGTGTGTTTTGTTTTATTTTACATAAATAGACTGGGGCATATTATTCTAAAGCTTCTTTTTAATCCCCTGTTTGTTTTATTAATTATGTCTTGGAGCTCTCCTGTTGATATATTCAATGAAACTTATTTCAAGCTATTTTTAAAATAATGTTAAGTATTTGAAAATAAATATCAAAGAACTTTTTCTTTGAGGAAAATTGGATTTCAGATTTTTTAAATTATAGAAACCTCAGTTTTTAAAAAATTTTAGCATAAAGAACACTCTATTTTACCTTTTTATGCTCATCTTCCAAATAATAGGGGCAGCTCATCTATAAATATAAAAGCAGATATAAATAGGCAGATTGACCCAGAGCCTGGGAGTTTGATTGCTCGCTATGACATGTGCTGACCACCTGTGGCATGGGATGAAGCCGGCCTCGGCCAGTAGCCCAAAGGCCCTGATCCACACTGATCCCCGGCCAGGCCTAGGGCCCCTACCCATGCACGAATTTCGCACACCAGGCCTCTAGTATTGGCTAAAAAATTAGTGGAATTTTTATAACAGAAAGGAAATTTGATTTAAAAAAAAAAAAAAAGGATTATTTTAAACACAAGGAAACAATAGAGAGTTTCATGAAATGCCCAGAATATCCACCACTCCATTGAGCAGAATTTGCCATGTTTGCTTCAAATTGAGGTTTTTTTTGTTTTTAACTTTAACTTTATTCATACAGTTTATGAAATACATCATGGTATGTAAGAGACTGTAAAGGCAGGAGACAAGATTTAAATCCTACTCTCTCTTATTGGCTCTATGATCCTGGCTATGTTACTCTTATGTTCTTGTGTTTAAATTGGAAGAAATGGCCCTTAGCTGGTTTGGCTCAGTGGATAGGGCGTTGGCCTGTAGACTGAAGGGTCCCAGGTTTGATTCCAGTCAAGGGCATATGCCTGGGTTGCAGGTTTGATCCCCAGGGGGCAGCATGCAGGAGGCAGCCAGTTATTGATTCCCTCTCATCATTGATGTTTCTATAAATATATCTTCTTCCTCTCGGAAACCAATAAAAATATATATTAAGAAATAAATGGAAGAAGTAATTTCAGCGGCTGGATTTGCTGGGGCCTTAATGACTGTTAGCTGCAGCCTTACTTCCTTTAAGTATTAGATTTAAGACAAATAGAAACTTTAAAACTGAGAATCAGAAATCAATCCTTGAAAGAGGCATTTCTTCTTATCTCTGTAAAAATGCAACATTATATGAACTTTTATGAAGAAACTTAGAATCCTGAGCACTTAGGCATTTAGTTTCAGAAAGGAGACTGTCTCCTTAGTATGCTGTCTAGTCTAGCATATGGATTCATATATGTTTGTGTGACTTTAAAGAGAAGTCATGGGACCCTGGCGGGTGGTCAGTCAGCTAGAGTGTTGTCCCAGGCACCGAAAAGTTGTGGGTTTGATTCCTGGTCAGGGCACATCACTATGTTGCGGGTTCGATCCCTGGATGAGCATTCATGGTAGGCAACCGATGGATGTTTCTCTCTCATATCCATGTTTCTGTCTCTCCCTTCCTTCCTCTAAACATATCCTTAAGTGAGGATTAAAAAAATAAAATAAAGAGAAACCATGGACCTTTGAATATTTATAGAATTCAAAGAACTTTAATCAACATCTTTTCTTTTTTTTTAATTCCTTAGATAGATAAAAGCCCAGAAGGACAGTTCACTCAGCTGTTGGCATTGCCCAAAACCTTACAGCAAGGAATACATAATATTATGGATCCTCCTGGAAAAAACAGAGACGTGGAAGAAACTCTTTTCAAACTTGCTTATGACCCTGACTGTGGAGAAGTCGTGCATCTAGGTATGTTTACGGATTTGACTTTGAGGGGGTGCTGACCATGGGGTAGAAGCAGGCTTTGTGACAGTGATGTGTTCTTTATTTCTTCTTACCTGGTGAGATCAAGAGATAGATTGCTTCTGGGGAGAAGAAAGCACTAACAGTCTGGGGGTTTCCAAATGTAAATGTTCATCTGTTTGAAGTAGGTATAAAAGTATTTCTGGGTCCCAATCCTTGGGTACTAAGTCACTGTCTGAGGGGGGAAACAATGTTTCTTTTGGTCCCAAAAGCATAACTTTTAGCAGTTATTTCAAAGACAAGTCTGTGTTCTCCCTGGTGGTCTGAGAAGGCAGGAGTCTGGTTATTTGACATTTTTATTGCTTTAATACCAAGAACTCGGCTTTTATCAGATGACTTTAAAAACCCAGCTTTCGGAGAGGATCCAAGATGGCTGCGCCCAGGTGAACACCTAGCCGCAGCCGCACACAACAATTTCAATAAAATACAACTAAAATATAAAACGGACATTGCCCAGAACTACAGGAAGGTTGACTGACTGGAAATTCTACAGCGAGAAGCAAGGAGAAAACCAGAAGGAGGTGCGGAAGAGCTGGAAAAGCCAAGGTACGGAGACGCGGAGACGCGGCGCGCGGAGAGGACGGAGCCGGAGAGGAGGGAGGCCGAGTGCCTGGCGGGCGTTCCTGAGCGGAAAGGAGAGAAAAGCTCCGACTGTGCTGGGCCCCCGACTGCTCTGATCCCCGGTTCTGGGCCAGACCCCGGGGACTCAGGCTCAGCCATAGGGAGCTGGGCTGTAAGGCGGAACCCCGGGGAGAGGCGAAAGGAGGTCCCGGAGGCGCGCACATTGCGCGCAGAGAAGGGACGGTCGGCTGTGCCGCGGGATCGCCCTGACGGGAAGGAGACTGGGGCTCCAGACTGCTCTGAACGCCACCTCCAACTCCACTTCCAACTGAACTGAACCCCAATACCGGGCTCATTGTGGGAGAGCATAGACTGTTTGGCAGCAGGCGAAACTCGAGGGCACCTTTCTCTCAGAGGCGCTGGCAGCAGCAAGCACTGAAGGACCCGCATAGGGCGGGGCTGACAGAAGCCAAAGCTGCAGGCTCCACCCTGAAACCCCGTCCCATCTGTAACTGCGAAATGCGACAACAAAATAGATCACAAACGAAAGAAATGGAGGACAAAAAGCGTCTGGATATAGAGTTCAAATCTACCCTTATAAGTTTTTTCAAGAATTTCTTAGAAAAGATGGATAAGGGCTACGAGGATATGAAAAGAGATCAACTAGAATTAATAAGGAGTCAACAAGAAATAAAGAATACATTGTCTGAAATAAAAAATATTTTACTGAGTCCTAAAAACAGAAAGGAAGATCGTAAGAATCAAGTCAAAGATTTGGAACATAAAGAGCCAGAAGACACTCCTCCACAGAAGCTAGAAGGCAAGAGAATCCAGAAAATTGAAGATAATGTAAGAAACCTCTGGGACAACTTCAAGCGAACCAACATCAGAATTATGGGGGTCCCAGAAGATGAGAGAGAGCAAGATATGGAAAACATACTGAAAGAAATAGTGACAGAAAACTTCCCCTACCTGGTGAAAGAATTAGACTTACAAGTCCAGGAAGCGCACAGAACTCCAAACAAAAGGAATCCAAAGAGGACCACACCGAGACACATCATTATTAAAATTCCAAGAGCAAAAGACAAAGAGAGAATATTAAAAGAAGCAAGAGCAAAGAAGGTAGTAACCTACAAAGGAGCACCTATACGATTGTCAGCTGACTTCTCAACAGAAACCATGCAGGCCAGAAGGGAATGGCAAGAAATATTCAAGGTGATGAATAGCAAGAACCTACAGCCAAAAATAATCTACCCAGCAAAGCTATCACTCAGAATCGAAGGCCAGATAAAGAGCTTCACTAATAAAAAAAAGCTAAAGGAGTTCATCACCACCAAACCAGAATTATATGAATTGCTGAAGGGGGTTCTTTCAGAAGAGAAAGTAAACAAAGATAAAAATTATGAACAACAAATACATAACTATCAACAAGTGAATCTAAAAACCAAGGAAATTAAAAAAATCTGATGAACAATATTAACTGTTGAATATAATAGAATCAGAGGTATGGAAGGGGAGTGAACTGACGATTCTTGGGGTAAAGGGGAGAGGGGGGCGTGGGAAGAGACTGAACATAAACTGTGCACCTATGGATGAGGACAATGGGGAGAGGGGAAAGGGCAGAGGGTGGGATGGGAACCTGGTGGAGGAGAGCAATGGTGGGTGGGGGGAAAGGAACATTTGTAATAATATGAACAATAAAAACTTATTAAAAAAAAAAAAATAAAATAAAAAAAAAATAAAAACCCAGCTTTCATCAACCAGTTCCCATTCAGTGTATCTCGTACACTGTGTTCAGCAGGTACCCTCTGACATAGCCTATGTTCTGGGCATTAGCCCCAGGGCTTCCCTGATATTTACCAAAAAATCGGAACCTTGTCTTCAGAGACCCACTTCCCTTTGAGGTGTTAAAGGTATTTTATGAGGTCAGTCAGTAAAGAATTAATTTTGAAATTGAAAATGACTCCCTCCCTGCCCGGCCAGCATGGCTCAGTGATTGAGCGTTGACCTATGAACCAGGAGGTCATGGTTCGATTCCTGGTCAGGACACATGCCCAGGTTGTGGGATCAATCCCCAGTTGGGGTATGCAGGAGGCAGCGGATTAATGATTCTCTCTCATCATTGATGTTTCTGTCTCTTTCTCCCTCTCCCTTCCTTTCTGAAATCAATAAAAATGTGTTTTAAAAAAATAAAATGACTCCCTCCCTCAGATGAGTGCATTCTCCTATTTCCTTGACTACTTAGCCCTGTAAGGTGCAAGCCGCTGTGCTAAATAATCACAGTGACAGCATTGAAACATTAGCTGCCACAGGCGGGCTCCACGCACACTCTCTGGGACCTGCCCCAGGTTGTCAGAGCAGATGTTTAGGTCACCAGATACCTGTTCTGAAGATAAATACAGAGGCATGTCCTTTGTTTGTTGTTTTTTATTTTACCACGAATCTGGTCACGGTGTGATCTCTGCTGCCTTTCATAGGGCTTGGGGGACTCTACTATTGATCCTCACTGAGGGGTTCCCTTGTCTGTTTTCAGAATGGAAGTTTTATTCCTGGGAAGAAACTTTATTTGTTTGTTTGTTTGTTTGTTTGTTTGTTTATGTTGTGTGTGTGTTTTAACTCTTTTTACATCTTGGAATTGAGAACCAGCAGCCTTATGTAGACTTAAAGTCATAAAATGACCTTTGAAGGTCACCTAACCCACCCCGTTGAAGGTGAGGAGGCCAGGCCCAGAGTTCATGTAGGTGGGTGGTGACATGCTGGCAACTCCAATCTCCTGGCCCTCAATCCGGATACCCTTTTCACTGTCATTCTATGACACCAGAACAGATAGAGTTGCCTGTTTTATTGGCTAGCTGAAAGAATATTTAGTTGTAGTTTTTTTTTAAAGTGCGGAGATGACTAACATCTGGCTTTTTGGCATCCTTGTTGGATTTTCCCTCACAGGGCTTTCAGCGATTGTGAGACCTTCGAGCCTGAGACAGAGCACCAAAGGCATTTTCACTGCCGGTAAGCACTTGGAAAACCCGCCCCTGGTTAAGCTGTAAAGCTTTGTCTGCGTCCTGACGGTGCTTGTGGAATGCTGGAATTCTAACGGTCATAAACCAGGGCATTGCAATAATGTACAGACAGGCAGACAGCACTGTAACCTGTTGGTCTAAGAAAACCAAACCGTATGAGGTATGTTGGAAGGCTTTACTGCCCTCAAAGGTTTCTGAGTAAGTCCTGTGTGCAGGCTTCCCCTCACATTCTTGTTTAGAAAGTTACACATGCGTGTCCTGCAGAAACAGCAGCGCCGTGCTCTTCCCCGCCCCCCCCCCCCACGTCCCCTCTCCACACAACCCTTTTCACGTCTCTTAGTGGGGGTATTTTTGTTTTCTCTAAATAATAACCTTATATTACTGCTTTTGACTTCTCATTAAGGAAGATTAGAATTCATCTCTCTCCCCAACCTCCCCACACACACTCACCCCTCCCTCCTATCCCTCTAATACAGATAATATTGCAGCTGTGGTAAAGGCAGTGTGCGGAGTTTACACTGTCTGACCGTGTTAATGAGACTCCTAGGTGAGCCACATGAAACGCTTTTCCTTCTCTGCACAACTTTCTTTGCCCACAGAGGTTGTCTCTATGTTCCCTGTGAGGAAGACATACTTTCCTGTATCTCAGTCTTTTATCTGCATGGTGCACACTCTCGTTTTGGTGAAGCACCCCATGCAGTAACTTTCTGAGAAAGGACGCATGGGAGGCCAACTTGGAGACCATGTCTGTCTAAACGAATCTCTAGGCCACCCTCCCACGGAAATGGAGACTGAGCCTGGGGATAGATTGGGAATGATTTTTTCTTTAGAATTTTGATACCATTGCTCCAGCTATCTTCTCACTTCTAAGATTACTGTAGAAGTCCAAAGCCATTTGGATTATTAGTCCTTTGTGTATGTTCTTTCTGGAGGCCTGTCAGGTCTTCATTTTTCCTGCAGGGCTCTCATGTGCTTTGAAGTGAGTCTGTCTTGATCTGTTACGATACTCATTTTTCAGTTTGTTCACTCAGGATATAAGACATTTTTCATTTATTCTTTTTTATTTTTTCCCCATCTGTTTTCTTTCTTCCCTTTCTGGAACTCCTTTTATTCAAATATTGGACCTCCTCGTCTAGTTCTCTGGTTTTCTTTCTTTTTTCTCCTGTGTTTGGTCTCCTTGTCCTTTTGTCTTGTTTTCTGGGAGATTTTTCTCAGCTTCAGCTTCCAACCCTTCTATTGAGTTTTTTTATTTCTGCTGTTACATCTCTATTTTCTATGAGCTCTTTTTCTTTTCTTTTTCTCCCCAACTGAATCTTCCTTTTTTTTACAAAATTTTTTTTAAACATCCTGTTCTTGATTTATGGGCTTAAGCATTTGAACGTCTTTGGATATAACCAAATTGCCCTCCCACATAGTTATATTAATCCCATTAGTAAAATATGAGAATTCTTGTTTTCCCCCAATTTCCCAATGTTTGGTAATATAAAAATATGGACCTTTCTAGTTCATTTTTTTCTTATGTAACCATCCACTGAACATCTCTCCTGTGTTAGCCACAGAACAAAGTGAACATGAGCCCTGACCTGTGTGTTCAGTGGTTAGGGTCTTGACCTGACCAGTCTTAGGTTCAATCCCGGGCCCCAGTCGATATTTCTCTCTTAAATCAATATTTCTGTCTCTCCTCCCCCTGCCCTCCCTCTTTTCCACTCTCTCTGAAAATAAGTGGGAAAAATATCCTTGGGTGAGAATTAAAAAAAAAAAAAGTGAACACAAAACACTCTCCTGCCTTCAAGAAGTTCATAGTCTAGAAAGAGAGACAGGCATGTAAATAGAAATTTGCAGTAGTACCAGGGCCTAAATGGTTCAGAGGTAGTGGTCTTTCAGCCTGATTCTGACCCCTGGATTGAGATTGCCAGGGAGCTGGTATGGTCACACATCTCAGCTTCTCACCAAAGCCTCCTGGATACACAGCTCAGTGTTTGGCCCCAAGGACACTGCGTGGCCCTCCTGAGTCTTTGGAAAGATACATTCAGAGTCAGGAAAGAGTATGTGTGCCAGACCTACTCAGCTGAAGATATTTCTGCCACTCAGGGGTACATGGCTTTGCATTTTCAGTTAAGTTACTTATTTAATCTGTGTTTCTTCTGTGCTTATCCTGGCAAGGCTGAATATGAGGTGCATTTCTTTGTTTGGATGGTTCTGTGTTTTACTTGATTACAACTCCCTTTCTATAACCTTCAATGGGTGAGGCCGAATGTTGCATTTTCCTTTTTTAGGGAGGCTTCCTGTGCTATAAGGAATTACTACATTATTGATTATCTGTTGTTGTATGATGGGGTTTTAAAAAAATTCCTTTTCTTGTAGAAATACATGCTAAAAATTTAGATGAAAAGACAGGATGTCTGAGATTTGCTTCAAAATAAAACAGTGGAGGGAAGTGGGTAAACAGTAGATGACACAGGATTGGTCATGACTTGATACATTTTTGAAGCTGGATGAAGATACATGGAGACATAGTGTACTATTCTTTCATAAGTTTGAATTTTTCTCTAAGAAAAGGTTTTTTAAACATGAATCATGATACTTCAAGCTGAAATGACTCTCTGGCCCTCCTCCCACTCGTTCTTTCCAGTGACCAGCAGAGGGCAGTGGGAAGCACCTCACAACACAGCCCAGATTTCCTTGTGGCCTTGGAGTGAGCATCCATAGCTGGTTCTCCCTGCCTGCTTAATGCTTGCTTCCCTTTTCCTTCTAAAGATGCCTCAGAGGATTGACGAAGTCCAGAGTATCAGAATGTCTATCAGAATGTCTATCACCTGCACTGAGGTTGCAGAAATTGTGGAAGTGATGAGCATCCATTCAGAGTCTATTGGTTTACGTACCTTATGATCGGGCTTATCTGGCTTATGATGGTTGTGGGCTGATAAAGGCGGTCCAGGCCAAGAGCAGGGGTTTGTGAGCCCCTGAGACTAGGGTTCAAATTCCAACCTAACTACTGTGACTTAGGCAAATTACCTAATTTTTCTGAGTTTTAATTTCATGGGGATAATTATACCTGCCTTGCCAGGTTATAAAATTATATCTTAAATGTGTAAAAAACACTTAGTACTGTGCCTAGTTTTTTATTTTTCTTTTGGTATCATTACTTAAACGTTTCCCGACCTCTCTTTAGAACATGGCTCTTTTCACTGTCATATTCAAATAGCATTAGCCCCTTGACCAGGCCTCCAGCTGGAGTAAGGAAACTGAGTGACCATTGAAGGCAGAGGCTGTTTTAATTAAGGGAGGCTTTATGGACTAGCAATCAAAAAAAAAAAAAAAAAAAAAAGCTACATGGTGTCTATGATGTACTTTTTGTGTTTACTTTAAATGTTAAGCTCCAAGGAGTCTGTGAGTAAGTTTTTGAAGTTGAACTGGGACTTATCATAGTCGATGCATCTTCCTCTAGCTCTGACTCAGTGCCCTGGGGTGGCTGTGTTGAACCTTATCATATGCAACTCCCTGTATTCTGCTTAACGTCTTGATTAGTTCTGGCTAGAATTTTAAAAAATACCTTATGTAATAGCTTTCCAGCCTCAATACTCAAATGGGTGAGGTTTACCAGAGTGGCTGCTCCAGGGAGAAATTATAGGGGTGGAGACCAGGGAAGGAGCCCTGAGTTTCTTGACGAGGCTGTGTCGGTTTGTAAGCAGTCAGTCAGTGGACAAGCCAGGCTAGAGTTTCTAAAAGTATTTGCTAATGGTTTTTCAGGGACCTTGCCTTATAACCTGCCACTATCTATAGTAGCCTCTTTCAAGGTCCTTGGTGGACTAAGCAGTTTACCAGTAACATGGCCAGGTATTTTCAAGAGATCACACGTACCCAAGTGTTCAGTCTCTGGAATTAATCCTGTTACCTCATCGGCAGAGCTTACAAAGTGCACTGCCAAGGGTGGGCATTTCATTCTCGAAGGACAGACCACAGTTTGTATCCCCTGGTGAAAAAAACTAGTTGGGTCTTGGAGCCACACCCTGAAACACGGACTGAATTATCTCATTTTCAACACCAAGGAAGTTGAGTCCATAATACTATCTGCAAATAGGATCCTATCAGATCTGACAGACAAATAACACCCCACTTATTCTTTCCCACTTTACTTCTTTCCCATAAGCTCCCCAGAGAGCTTCTCTGGTTTCATCTGGAACTTGTGATTAAGTAGATAGAGGGTGTTGGGAGTTCAGATATCTGAATGAGGTGCATCTGTTCTGTCATTTCAAAAGCATTTACCAAGTACCTACTATGTGCTGGATACTATAGTAGGTGATGGGATGACAGACAAGGATGAATAGGACAAGGTCCTTGTCTTCAAGGAACTCCCAGTCTAGGCCGAGGAAGAGGTTAATAAACCTGTCCCTAAGCAGTGAACAGTGGGGGAGTGCTGTGTTGCACACCAGCAAGGTAGTGTGGGTCTAGGATAGGGGTGGGGAATATCTGGCCCATGGACCATGGAAAGGCCTACAAAACCATTTGGTCTGGGCCTATCAAGCCATTAGGTGAGTTAAGTAAAGGTTTGACCAAATATAGCAGGCTAGTTTTTAAGTTGATAATGGTGTATGGCTTGTGAATAATGTTATAAATTGTATATCCAAATGTCCCTTGGTAGAATAAAGGTTCCCTGGCCTAGGAGGAGCAATATCTGAACTGGCCTGAGGAGTCAAGGAAGGCACTCCTAGAGAAGAAATCTGAAAGGGGATTTGCGCTCTATGTAGCAGATAGTGATGGAAACAACATGCACTCCGGGCAGTGGTTCACCCGGTGACAGAAGCAGCGAGGTGGGGTTGGTTGGATGCAGAATTGGGATCTAGAAAGGGGCCAGGGATGCCCATGTATATACAGATCTTGTCTTTGTTCTTCCTTTTTCTTTCTTTTTAAGAACTACTAAATTCAAAGGCTGTCAGTGTGCTTGTATCTCAAAAGATTTCACTTACCCCAGAAACTCAGGTACCTTTG